AAAAAAAAAAAAAAAAAAAAAAGACAGCATGCAATCGACACAGATAGATAAATTAATCTATAGAAGAGAATACAGAATCCATAAACTGACCCTACACATATTTATTTGATTTATGACAACTGGTATAATCAATCAGTGGAGAGAGATGAACTTTTCAATAAATAATGGTGGAGGAGTAAACTGGCCTAGGCTGGAAATGGAGAAGGTCAAAATTCCCATGCTGATCAGTAGTGGGATTGTACTAGTGAACTGCTATGACACTCCAGCCTGGGCAACACAAAAAGACCCCATCTCTAATTTTTAAAAAAAATCTTAGGCCGGGCTCAGTGGCTCAGCCTGTAATTCCAGCACTTTGGGAGGCCGAGGCCAGTAGACTGCCTCAGCCCACGGGTTCAAGACACGGTTGGGCAACTTGGCGAGACCTCGTCTCTACAATAAATCAAAAATTAGCTGGGCGTGGTAGTGCATGCCTGTAGTTCCAGCTACTTGGAAGGCTGAGGCGGAAGGATCACTGGAGTCCAGCAGGTCGAGGCTGTAGTGGCCAGGAGCAGCCACTGCACTCCAGTCTGAGACTCCAACTCAAAAAAAAAAAAAAAATCTTAATAAAAAAATTAAAAAATAGGGCCAGGTGTGGTGGCTCAAGCCTGTAATCCCAGCACTTTGGGAGGTCGAGGCAAGAGGATTGCCTAAATTCAAGGGTTTGTCCTATATTGACTGTAGAAGACAATATAGGAGAATATCTTTATGTTCTCAGAGTAAGCAAAAATTTCTTAGACAACACAAAAAAAAAATCATATACTACAGAAGAAAACACTGATAAATCAAAAATTTTAGGACCAAAGACATGTAAAGAGAGTGAAACGACAAGTCACAACTGGTAGAAGAGACTGGCTACATACAAAACTGACAAAAGATAAGTATCTAAAATATATTTAAAATTCCTATAAATTAATATGAAAAAGACCAAATCCTCTTCGCTCCCCCCACAAAAAAACTCAAAAACTTACTTCTCAGAAGAAAACATGAATGGCCAACAAACATATGAAAAAGTTCCTGGCCTCACAAGAAGTTAGGAAAATACAAATTAAAACCACACCAGGCTAGGCAACATAGCGAGATCCCATGTCTACAAAATAAAAACAAAAAAAATTAGTTGGGCATGGTAGCTCACACCTGTAGTCCCAGTTACTAGGGCAGCTAAGGCACAAACTCAGGAAACAAAAACAAAAAAACTTAAAATCACACTAGACCAGGCACAGTGGCTCATGTCTATAATCCTACCACTTTGGGAGGCTGAGGCGAGAAGATTGCCTGAGCCCAGGAGTTCGAGACAAGCCTGGGCAACTTGGTGAGATCTCGTCTCTATAATAAATCAGGAAAAATTAGTCAGGCAAAGTGGCACACACCTGCAGTTCCAGCTACTTGGAAGGCTGAGGTGGAGAATCACCTGAATCCAACAGGTGGAGGCTGTAGTGGCCGTGAGCATGTCACTGCACTCCAGCCTAGGCGACAGAGTGAAACTCCAACTCAAAAAAAACACAACACAATAAAATAGTGTTTCACAACCACTAGATGGACAAAAACTTTAACAGTGACCAAATAAAATAATGGCTAAGCTGTAGAACCAAAACACTTAAACTCTAAGTATATCAGAAAACCAATTTAGCATTATCCTGTGGGAAGATACACCAAACCCACAACTTGGCAATTCCATTATTCCTACAATCCCTCTGCCTGGACCATCTTCTTTCTCTACCTTTGCATGGCCAAATCTCACCCTTTTTTCAGATATCACCTTAGGAGGTAGAAGTGGTATTTCTATGTTCTCAATTCCTATAGCTCTTTTTTTTCTTTGTAGAAAGCAAGATTTATTAAGAGGACAGAAAAGCTCCCACGGTGGGAGGGCCCCGATGGGATTGCCTCCTATAGCTCTTTATCTGTTTTTGACAAATCTATTTCTAGCCTGTGTCATATTTACTTTTATACTCTTTTTATCTTCTCTATCAAATTGCAAGCGACTGAAGGCCTGGAACCAGACTGATTTGTCTAGAAAAAGCACTTGTAACCCTGGGTGCAGTGGCTCAAGCCTATAATCCCAGCATTTTGGGAGGCAGAGGTGAGAGGATTGTCTGAGCTCGGGGGTTCAAGACCAGCCTGAATAACATGATAAGACCTCATCTCTACAATAAGTCAAAAAAATTAGCCGGGCGCAGTGGTACACACATGTAGTTCCAACTACTTGGAAGGCTGAAGCAGAAGGATCGTCTGAGCCCAGCAGGTCAAGGCTGTGGTGGCCGTGAGCTTGCCACTGCACTCCAGCCTAGGCAACAGAGTGAGAGTTAACAGGAACAAATAGAAACTACGATGACTAAGGCAGATAAAGAAGGAGGGCAGGGGCAACCCCCTCGGGTCCCCTCCCATTGTGGGAGTTTTTCTGTCCTCTTAATAAATCCTACTTTCAAAAAAAAAGGAAAAGGGCAGGAGAGAAGGAGGTGGAAAAATAGAAGGCAACAAAGGGGAAGGAAGGAATGATAGCCCTATTTGCTGTGTAGGTCTCTTCCATACTAAGAGAAAAATATAAGAAAGCAAAGAAAAATCTATGGACAATGAGTGAAAACACAACTTAAAAAGATGAAGAAAGTTAGCTAGAAATAGGTTATGTGTTAAAAACACTTTCTCTTTAAATTTATGGCCAGGCACAGTGGTTCACAGTTGTAATCCCAGCATTTTGGGAGGTCAAAGCAGGATTACTTAAACTCAGGAATTCAAGACCAGCTAGGGCAGCACAGTGAGACTTCATTTTTAAGAAAAATTTTTTTAAAATTAGCCTGGCAAGGTGGTACATGGAAGACTGAGGTGGAAGGATCACCTGAGCCCAGGAGGTTAAGGCTGTGGTGAGCTGTGTTCATGCCACTGTACTCCAGTCTGGACAACACAGTGAGATCCAGACTCAAAAAATAAAGATAAAAACAAATACTTGTGTACACTCCACTCAGTTTAAGAAATAGATCACTGGCTGGGTTCAGTGGCTCAGCGTATAATCCCAGCACTTTGGGAAGCTGAGGCGAACAGTGTTGAGACCAGCCCGGGAAACTTGGTGATACCTTGTCTCTACAATACATCAAAAATTAGCCGGGCATGGTAGCGCACACCTGTAGTTCCGGATACTTGGAAGGCAGAAGGATCGCCGGAGTCCAGCAGGTTGACGCTGGGGTGGCCGTGAGCGTGTCACTGTACTACAGCCTGGGCCACAGAGGGAAACTCCAACTCAAAAAAAAGAGAGAAAGAAATAGATCCCTAACAGTTGAAGTGGCAGGGGTCAGTGACTCACGCCTATAATCCCAGAACTTTGGGAGTCTGAGGTGAGATGATTGCCTTAGCCCACGGGTTCAAGACCAGCCCAAGCAACTTGGCGAACCTCATCTTTACAATAAATCAAAAAATTAGCCAGGTGTGGTAGCACGCGCCTGTAGTTCCAGCTACTTG